CTGAGACACCTTTAACGCAAGGTAGGGATGCATAACCTTTGACTTCGTCTTGTTGATTTGGATTACGTTGTCGGGACATATAGACTTTGTTAGCTTGGATTAAGAGGTTTCTTCACAATGGCCGACATGATTGCTTTCATATCATAAAGAAAATTAGTCACGTGATCCTCCCGGTGGCAAACCTTCGATGAAACATCAAATTTGGAAGATCGACTGGAGTGCTTTCAAAATAGCCATGAAATTGTTTGCAAACTAAATTGGCCAAATAAGTGTGAAATCCCTGTCTCGAAGGTAGTCATTTTCATCTGTCTGTGAAATAGGAATTGTACTGATAAAAATCTGATAATTCCAAACTTAATTCATCTGTTTATAAGCATCAACGAAAAAAAAAAAAAAACTATGAACTGCATTGTAAAATTATAGAAATACCAAAAATTACTGAGTTGTTCACATCTCCTGTGAGATTACTCAGTTCATGAAAGTTTCACCAAAAGTTATGGAAAAGATACTGGAATATTCCAAAAAAAACTTAAGATATATTAAAAGACGGCAATTAGCGCTCAAGGTTTTCCAACTGATTCGAGATGCCTTAAGATCTCATCATTATGTTTTTTCGTGAATTAAGCCCATCACTACTTACCATAAAGGCAGATACGCTTTCTTTGTCTTCCTGACAAGACAACAGTAAGATTTTATAAATCAATCAACACGACTTAAATAAGGACAGAGCGTTTATAATAGGAAAGTTGAATATGTGTTGAATATTCTAAGAAATCTTTCTGTAGACTTTTGCAGTTTTGGAAATAACATGTAAAAAGTGATAGTTTTTTATCTAAATTTATCGGTACACTCGTTTATAAGCATAGATAGACTAAAAAATAACGACAAAAATAAACAAACAAACAAAAAACTATGAACTGCATCGTAAAATTATAGCAATGTAAAGTTATTAATTCATCCCATGTGAGGATAATTGCATGGCTAATGTTAAATTTAAGGATTCTCGAAGGAGCTGCGAGCTATCTCTTCACTTCAAATTGCCAATTGCTCCTCACAGCGATAAGTTATTTACATAAAATTTTACGCAAAAGTCATGCTAAGATAGAATATTCAAATAAAACTTGTTTGAGAGAAGTCGAGTATATTTTTCAAGAGATATTAAAAGACGGCACTAAAATTAGCGCTATTTTTTTCCAACTGCTTCGAGATGCCTTTTAAGGTCTCATCATGACGTTGCGTGAATTATACGCATATCAGAATACTTACTACGACGACAGCGTCTCCATACTTTCTTCGCAGCTGAAAAAAAACAATGGTAAGATTCAATAAATCAATCAACAATTAGCACGAATAAAGACAGAGTGTTTATAGGAAAGCGACAAGATCTTGTAAAACGTTTTCGGACATATAGACTTTGTTAGCTTGGATTAAGAGGTTTCTTTACAATGGCCGACATGATTGCTTTCATATCATAAAGAAAATCAGTCACGTGATCCTCCCGTTGGCAAACCTTCCAACCAACCAACCAACCAACCAACCAACCAACCAACCAACCAACCAACCAACCAACCAACCAACCAACCAACCAANCATGCAAAATTGCTCTAGTGTTCAATTTCTCTCCCAAAATCACTGTACTAAGTTAAAAAAACTTACTTTTTATTTGACATCTTCTCCTTGCTACTTGCTACAACAAGCTTAGCTCAGCTGGAATGAAAGCAAAGAGGAAACAACTTGGACAAAAATTCAAAAAGCTAATAACAATTTCAGCATAAAAAAATGAATGTTTACAAATAAAAGTTACCGGATGCACTGTGTTGCGCGACAAATTGAGGGAGGACGTGAAACAATAATTTTACATCGAATTTACAATTGAATTTAGACAAAAAAGTCTATTCAATTAGATCTAGATAGTCTTCACCACTATTTACAACAATAATAAGTGATGTTTGTTGGGTAGAAATATAATATTCCGGATACAAACTTACCGTTCTCGACTGGACGGGAAAAGGCGGGAAAAGACGTCGTCTTTGCACACTCGCGGCCGACGCCAAGAACACAACCGGAAGTAAAATTTGACTCGTCCCATTCCGATGAGTCTCGGTTTTGGTCGAGAGTGGAGAGTCGAGACTATCAGGTCGAGAGTCGAGACTCACATGTCGAGAGTCCCAAATCCCAGGTCGAGAGTCAAAAAAAAAAAAAAACAAGAACACCATTATTATAAAGTGAAATACTAAAAGACACAACTTAACTAAGAAGAGGGTCTCAATGGGGTTAACCGTGAGCCGTGAAACGGCTAAAAAATTAGCCGTGAATCGTAAAAATGAGAAAAAATAGCCGTGAAACGGCTGAAAAATTAGCCGTGAGTCGTGAAAATGAGAAAAAATTAGCCGTGAGGCGTGAAAAAGTCAAATTTTTAGCCGTGAGTCGTGATGCGGACCCCCCCATTGAGACCCTCTAAGAACGACCCCGAGTGTGAAATATCATTCAAAGAAAATAAGGGTTTTCTTGTTTTTTTTTGACTCTCGACACCTGAGATTTGGGACTCTCGACATGTGAGTCTTGACTCTCGACATGGGAGTCTCGACTCTCGACCTGATAGTCTCGACTCTCCACTCTCGACCAAAACCGAGACTCCATTCCGATCGTGAGGTCTCGCGTCCTCTTCGAAGTTCGCGTCTTCGATCTAAAGCAGTCTAATGCCAATTTTACGGACGCGTAGCATCGAAAAATGAAGTTTTCAATTTGATTCTTGCCATGGGCAATTTGAACTGATATTTTGTTCAGCGAATCTGAACCTACCATAATGTTGGATAGCGATGCGTAGACAAACAACTAGAAAGCTTATAGATACAATATATCTAAAAGACTACCAAACAAACTATAGAATAAAATTTACACTTTATGGAAGAGAATTGTCCTATCACATAATAACKTTACACCAAAACATTCTATTGCATGTTTTAACGCTAAGGATTATGGTCGCCAGAGGGGGTCAAAGTGATTGCATATCAAATTAAATGTATAGATTAGCTTTCATTGATATAATCGATATACATCAAAACTCGATACAATTCTCGGTTTGCACTGATCACGTGATATTCTAAAAATGCTATTTAGAGGCACTATTAGCGGAATATTATTATTGTTCTCAAGAGAACATCTAAATTAAAGGATCAMTACGAWATTTYGAGCSAAAATAATGCTTTTTAACAGAAATACGAGCGATCGAAAATTGGTAAGAATGTATGGGATTATCACGGCTCAATGCGTTTTAGACTGGTCAAGAAATACCTACAAAAATCTTTGTTTTAAGATCGAAATGAATATTTTATATCCAAGGCCAAGAACAGCATATAATTCCCAGCATTTATGCAAAGTNAGTTGGATTTCAAGGTTGGATTTTTTTTAAAATTGGTATATCTTCAATAATAATTGAGTCATGAGAGTCATTGAGAAAAACGAATTTTTCGCAATTGTTTGTTAGAAAACGTCACAACATGGTCTCATTCAAAGTTAATAATCTCAAAAATGAGCTCGGGACTATGCACTTTTCTTTTTGTATTCTTATTCTTCGATGAGAACCACTACGTGGAACTTAACGTGCCCAGTCCAGTTATGAGGACATGGCGTAATACAGTGCGTAGCAGTTATCGATATGTGCTATTCAGATTTTTCGCTTTTTTTTGTCCTAAGTTTACTGTTGGTCGTATAGTAAGTGGATAGTTGAAGGTCATAAAATTCTCTTCTGTTGCATATATTGTTTGGTTACATACGAGTGTAATATTTTAATTAATATTTAATTTAATATTTAATTTAATTTCGCTCAATTTTGGTTGTCATTTTGTTAGTGGTCCAGAGACATGTGAGAATAGTTGAGGTGACGTTTTGACACCATTTTTTGTGGTAAAAATAACAACAATATAGTGTGAAATCAATGTTAATTCCAGTTGAATTCCTATTCATGTTAGCATGAGTGCAAACAACATGGCACGGCACAAACGAAAATTATAGACAGTTTTTCGTTTGACAATCAAAACACGGCAGCTTTTCCGAATGTTGTTGTCAATATATATATTACGACAAGTTCAGTACAGCACGTCATGAACGTTCGTTTCACAATAATACGAACAGTCCTCTAAGTAGTCAGGACTTTTATGGTCTGTACTCTTATGGACTGATCAAATCTCAGAAAACAATAGAGTTGTCCATTTATTACAGCCATTCCAAATGGAGACGTTTGGAATCAAACAATCAGTCAGTAACAAGTTAGTGATGTTGAATRYATCAAAATTATAATAATTATAAATACATAAACAAACGTTTGTGAAACAGACTGGCCAGGGACTGATGCTGCCAAACTTCAAAAATCNCGTAGGATTACCATCTGCAGTGGTCAATTCACTTAGTTCGTCTTCTGCAAGACAAATCAACAAAATATTGTGAGTTAAGAAGAAGAAAAAGTGAAAAAAAACCCACAACAACAACAAACTTAAGCTTAAGAAATCTTACCTGGGATGTCTTCGTCCTCGTCTTCTGCAGCTTTATCTTGTTCTTTAGCTGGAAGATCGTCTTCAGGTTTGAGTTCTTCAGGAATTTCACGTTTTTCTTCAGCTGGAGCAGCTCCAATGAAGGCAACGAGACCAAAGATCACGAGAAGAGTCAACGAGAGCTTCATGATTGTCAGCAGTACGAAAAAAATACTCGACTGAATTCAAAGTGAAATTACTTGCTCTTTTATGCGATTAATACCCATAATACTTTTCTTTTTTATCAAAATAAAGACCCACTAGGACTAAAAAACTTTGCAGAAAAAAGATGAATCTTTGCAATGTCAGAAGAAGTGCGAGGATTCGAGTGGAATGCTTTGCCAAAAAAATTTACAGCCTCGCTTGAGGGTTTTAATAGAATCTTGTCGATGAATTTGACTTGAGACTATTTAAGCACTAAGTACAATTAAGATTTAAGCTTTCTCTGTACGTAGGAGTCATATTCGATTAAACACTGCTTCGTCTACGTTTGCATATGTTTAATTTCCGAGCCTTCAGATCATTTGATCCATCATCAGGGACTAGTGATACAAATGAATTAACTAGAGGTTAAAAAAACTAAACACATGACGAAAATGCTAAATATAATAAAGCGCGCTACAGATGCGCGCGCACACAAGCTAAGAATATTATTTTTTAGTTAAAATGTGACGATATGCGTCTGGTAACAGGCGTCCACAGTCTCTATGAAACAAAACATTATTAATTTATTGTTCTTAGATATGAGCCATGCCTACGTCCATCTACGCTTATTCTTACGACTTTCTGTTGCTGAGATCTTTATGTCATCCCAGGCAATGCCATGGTCGTTGCTGTTTGCATGGTCAGATAAGGCGGAAGACTCCGTCTTTCCTAATCTGACGCAAGCTTCATGTTCTTTGGTTCGTGTCTTTAATGCCCTCCCTGTCTCTCCTATGTAAGAAACAGCACAGTCCTTACAGGGAATATTGTAGACAACGCCAGTTCTTTTGCTCATGGGTATCGTATCTTTAGGCTTCGATAGTATTTGCCTAAGTGATTTAACTGGTTTTAGAGTTGTCTTGATGTTATGGTGTTGTAAGATGCGTTGTACTCTTTCTGAGACACCTTTAACGCAAGGTAGGGATGCATAACCTTTGACTTCGTCTTGTTGATTTGGATTACGTTGTCGGGCTTGTCTTAGAGGAAACGCTTCGGGTAGCCGTTCTGTTCGTGGAGAGTTAGGTGTTTCCGCTCTCTATCTAATATACGAACTTTGAAACGATAAATTTAATGCCATGACACCATTTTTAAGCAACTCCTTCAAAGTTCGTATATTTAATGAAGCCTCCCTTGACGTCACATCATTAGCATTTTCAATTTTCAAGTGCCTTTAGCTCAGAAAATAAAATTCAAAAAAACTTTTTCTTCTTCAAAGCAATGATTAGCATCATATTTGCCTTTTGTTAAAAATGATTTTCCGAAATGGTTCATACGCACTTTAAATATAAAGCTCTATCAGTAATGATCCCTTGTATTTGAATATCCTTCGTTTGCACGTTACGCCATATAGTTCCAAAAAAACATTAATTAAAACTTAATTTCCAATGAAATCGATTTTACTCTAAAATATAGTTTAGAAAACTATGTTTCGAGATGATTTTTGAACTTATATGCGAATAATTTGATGCACAACGTGTTTTATTTGGTAGCCGAAGTCATGTCACACAACGCCAGGTCACGCGCCTAAAAAGCCGTGGAAATCATCTAAAATTCTTCTAAATCATAGTATTTTGTTTTAATATAGATTTAGAATGGCTAAATGTAGTGAAAATAAGGTATATTTGCTACTTTGTACCCGAAATTGTGTTCATAACAGTTAGCCGCCATTTCTGGTGGATCTCAGAGGTCCACCAGTACGGTGCCTCCATACATTTCTTTGTAAAGATCGGCACAAAATT